GTTACAGCATTTGTTCCAGTACTAAACTGTATATTTGGCAAAAGAAGGCGACATCAATGGCCTCGTGACGACACATGCCGTTATGATTCATAATTTTGTTCTACTTGTCACATGCCACTTCATCCAATATGGATATTGAGTTTTCTATCGCATTGAGAGATTTAGGGTTGCCAGCATAGTTCTTGAACGGAAAGTAACCAACTCCTTTCACTTTTCTCAGTACATCTTTCAACAGCTGCTCTCTACACTGATACAGCGATTTAGAATAGACGTTAACATTCTTGGATGTTGCTGACAACTGAGACGCAAATGACAGTTGATACGTGCACGTCACACCCATGTAGGTAACTGTGAAATGTTCCTTCTCTTATCTCTTGGAGGGCACGAAGATGAATCACCATGTTGTTCCAGGAACATCGTGAGTACTTAGTAGAGATAGAGAGATGATGGAGTTGTAGGATTTTTCTTTTGAACTTTTGTTGAAATATTCTTCGACATTTTTCAATGGTCTAACTGGTAATGATTGTAATGGAATGATAGCAGAAATTTTTGGGAAACATTTCCCGTGAGAGTTGATATTGGAGAACGACAGGTCTTCGAATTTTTTACGGTGTTCTAATGAGGTCAGGGTATTTGTAAGTGTAGCATCGCTCACCAGACAACTGGATGTTCTCTGGGTGGAATATAGAAGCATTTTGAGCTTCACCATTTTGAAGAGGAATACAGGCTATCAATGGCAGTGGATTCAACTAGATTGTACGTTGTCCAGACAGTAATTTCAGTAAGATGGTCATTGTCCGTGATGGCCTGCCTTTTGTCGTGACTTCTTGGTTTCCTGAAAGGAAGTGGAGATCCTAGAAGAGAATGCAGTATGAGGATTACTAACTTCGGAAAAGCTGTGGATACGGCAAGTGGTAGCTCCCAACAGGTTATTGATATGAAGTATGAACAATTTTCGAGCAGAAATTGAACCTTGTGAAACGCCGAGATGAATGGCGATAGTATCAGACAATACTCTGTCTTCCACCGAATAGAGTGATCTGCCTAGAATAAGAATCAATAGGAGATGACATAGCTAATGTAATAAGCCATATGATGGTAGTTTGTGGAGCAATGTTTGGTGCCAAACACGGTCGAATTCCTTCGATATAAACAACGCCAAAGCTATAGATTCTTCATGTTTTTCGAATGCAACTTACCGTGTATGAGCCACGTGAGCAATTGAATCTCTAGTTGATCTCTGGTTTCTAGTGCCATTATGTTTATCATCGATGATTCCCAAACTCTCCAGGTATTTGATGAGCTCGATGTCGATGGCTTCCTCCATCTCTTTGGAGTTGATTAATAACAGCAATTGGCCTATAGTTGTTGAGCAGGATTTTGTTCATCTTCTTGGGGATTTGTTGAACTCTAGCTATTTTTCAGCAAGATGAAGGATCACCCAATTTGTACGAGATGGTTGATAACTTGCATGGAATTGGTGTCAATTATGGTGCACACTTCTTGAGGATAATGGGTATAGTTCCATCAGGATCGTTGGCTTCATTTGTTTTGAGACCCGTTTTGATAGTCTGATATACTGTGTTAACGAAAGATAATTTCGTGCAATTGACTTTCAACGAGTACAATGTCTGGCAGCACTCTTTCCTTGGAATCCAAGGTGAGGATTCCTGCGAACACCTCTGCTTAGATGTTTGCTTTTTCTTGAGATGTTGTTGCTAATGTGACGTTGACTCCAAAGAGTGATGAGAATTAACTAATAACGAAATCATTTTCGACTGGTTTAGGAAGGGATCGAAACAAACGGGAGCTATTGTGATGTTGAATTACGAGCACGGAGGTCATGAGTTCGTGAACTTTGCGATAATCATCTACAATTCGGAGCTCATCTTCCTGGCTACCAGTATTGAGGTGAAGAAATAACTTGCAGATGGATATCCTTAGATGAGCCTGTTATACAAAAGCCTCGCAGGAAGCACGACATTGCCTATTCGCAGAGTACTTCTCTGATCGATAGACACAAGGCCGACTGGGTGGTGTGTAATCAATTTTGCTTACTTCAAATGATTCAAAACTAAGAGGAGAATCAGCATTTATGCTCGTTATCAACAAAATGGAAGCCAAGCGTGATTTTGTAATAGGTTCGAAGTAAGAGCAGACTGCAACATCATCGTCATCTTGTCGTGACATTGTCAAAGAAATTGCCAACATTTTGGAGTGGACCTTTTGCCATCTGTAGAAATCTCTCAATTCAGCTCGCTCTCTAGGCTAGTATTGTACTCAGTACCATATGCTGCAATCCAATGAGCAGGATTGGCCAGCTTTCTCGTTGACCCCCGTTAGAAGAGGCACACTAAGCAGCATTGACCCGCTATCAAACGTAGCTGGTAGTTCTCCACATCCACATACACCTTTCTACTTCTTATTTCATGCTCACAACGACATCATTATCACCTCCTGTGTGTTTTGTGAATTCTGTGTCACAAACTCCATACGCGACTCCAGGAGTAGCACTGTTGATTGAAACGCTACAGTGAATCATGCAGGGCTGTCCCGAGCCGATGCTCCAAAACTTCATTATATTCATATTGTTCATCGAATATTGAAGGAAAGGTCCATGCTCTGGCTGGGAATCGAACTCACGATTTCGCGATTATGGATCGGGCCCTCTTCTACTGCGCCAGTCTTGCCGTTGTTATTCATACAAGTGTTCAACGTGTACAAACACCCCAAGTACGACGAATACGTATAAGGTGTGGAGATTTCCACTCATCACCCGTACGTTAATGCATTCCAAAATAACGACTTTATCAAAATCACCATTCAGCAGAACAGCACATATCACTGTACACATTATATGTGTGCAAGGAACTCTGCGAAGAATTGCAGGAGACGGCAACGTCGCATCCTTGAATAACGTTGATGCATTCCTCTTTGATGCAATATCTCACCGAACCAACGGTACAGAATTTGATTTTGTACTATCGCCTGACGTGTCAGTACGCTTCGTTGCTATACCTGCTAATGCGATAATGTTTCGCGACACTTGCGAAATTGACTGATGGTCGTATCCAGCAGAAGTATTGTGTTGAAGGCGGATTTCATTTTGTCCTGTGACGATCTTTGCTTGAATTTAATGCAGTCTATCAGATCAGACCAACCTGTCGTGATACCCTACCGCAGGTGTGAAATCTCTTCATTATTCAGGCTCTGTTGTGGATTTTTACGGTTTGACAACAGCATCAAATGGAATGAAGATTACTACTCTGTTGGTTCCTTTGGGTGACATTTTATAAGAAGGTTTTGATGCCATTCATCGAAATCAAACAAGGATCGATTTCTGCTCCAATTTCATAGGCTCCAGTTTTTTCAATACGAATTTGTATCCAATGTGATGTTAGTGGAACTAGATAAGGTGATGTTTTGACACAAGTGCAGAATTATGCAGAAATAGTCATAGCATGTGCTTGTAGAAGTCTTCCTAGGGCCGAGAGAAATTATTTAGATACAGAGCGATAAAGTCTAGCTCTTGTTTCCTCTTTAGAAAAATACACATCTCATGTCGATGGAGTATAACGATAACTGATCAGTCAAGCTTGAAATATCTCACTTAGGTAACTGAAACATCTGGTAGACTCAGCAGATGGGTTATGCGACTATCTGGTTCCGACTATGAAGTACTCTATAGACGAGGAAAACTCCGTGTGACTCCTGATGCACTAAGTAGAACCTCTTTGAGCTCATTAATTCTTCTCCAGGATATAATCTTGAACCTTGGTATCTGAAGATGAGGAACAATGTTAGTAAAAATCCTGAAAAATATCCACAGTGGATGATTCTGTTCGAACATACTCCAGGTAAAGAAACATTGAAAACTAACATTCCAGAATGGAAATTGATACTGCAATCTGATCATAAATTTCAGATTATTGAAGATTGTCATGATTCACTAACTTCTGCTCATTCAGTATATTTAATGAACACAAAAAAAGGGTTGAAAATATAAAGAAATACATTGAGAATTCACATCCTTTATGTGAAGAAAATATTGATTCTTTCTCGATTTATTCAACAGAAAATAACTACTTTCCTGGCTATATATCACGACGAACATTGAATAGCATCTATTGAGCACATATGATGAGAATTTGAAGACAAAATCTTCTGAAGTAGAGAATTTGCATTCTCCTTCATATAAAGATATGCACATGATATTAATCTGAATATTCAACAGAAAACAACTTCTTTCCTGGCTATTTGCCACATCGAACATCGAAATATATCTGTTGAAGAACAAAATAAAAAATCTTTTTGTATTTCGTATATCTCTGACATGAGGAGTTCATTCTTCTAATTCGACAATAAGATGAGTGTAAAAAAGTGAGATTTTGAATTTAATCGTGGAATATCTATATAAATGATGGTTTGTTTACCTTTCCATCACGAGAGTCGTGCGCCCTACATGGAAATACGTCAGCGACAAGAAGTAAAGCACAAAGAAAAACCCATCTCATGATAAGTGATAATTTTTAATCATATAATCATAGTATCTGTCTTTGCGATGGGCCTGAGTCTCTTCAGTAGAAGGAAGCTGACTTCGGGTCTAATTATGTCAGGTTCCGCTTCAGATGACGACTTTCGGGCTGCTATTCTGTGCACTTATGGGAACCGAATAGTGAGAATGTAGTCTATACGTATCAAGCGTTTTATGGATTACAATATAAAAATTTCGATACTGAGGATATCAACACTTGCAATTAGTATACGTTCATCAGAATATTTTTGTGAATCAATGTTTTGCGTGACAGTAGCAAGAAAACTTGTTAGATGATCTTGTCGTTTATCGTTTTGTCTCATTCCATTCTTCATTATTTATAAAAATGTCTGACTTTTCAAGATCTCTGACCGAGCTTGAAATCAAATTAGCAACAATCAGAAACAGAAGAGTATTTCTACTGAGATGAAAATATCAGAATGAACACGAATTTTTTTTGTTCCAGGGTGAAGCATTATGTGAAGATATATATTCTGTGGAATGGTATTCAATGTCTAGAAGTTTCCAACTAGATGTTATGATGATCCTTCACAGAACCCAAACACCTATCAGAAGTTATGCCGGTGTATTTTATGGCCATTCTTACTCCTACGAATTATTGATGTTTGTGAGTGAATCATGATATCACTACAAATTGTTAATCTCAACCCAAAGAGCACAAAATTGACTGAGAACAATTCAAACTTTCGTCAGACCTAGCTGGATGATATTACTTTTTGACATGTGGATGAATGGTTGATCCTAGACACTATTTACCATCAATATTGAACCTAGTGATTTCTTCAATCTACAGAGAATTCCACTCAAATATGTGAAGATGAAGGGAAATTGTATGCTTCAGCTAATATCTCAGAAATATAAATTGTTATCAATTGGAAGCGATTCTTCATAAACTATCAATTTCACGTCTTCATACTGTCTCTCTTCGACTCAGGCATCGATGTAAGCAATGATCTCATAAAATTATTTATATATTGTAGACGAGCATGTAGAAAGTGATATGAGTCGTGGTCAATGTTGCCATTGTTGATGATGAGCTGTATCATTTCCAACTCACATGAGATAAATATTCTGTCGTTGAATGCATTGTTCTATGATGAAGGCACTGATTATTCCTGAGAAATTTATCGAATACTCATCACTTTTTTTTTACTTCCACAAAAAACTATTCTCTTGGTTGTGTTTCGATTGAGATTCTGAATTTTTTTTGTCGTTGAAGACTTTTTGCCATTTTTGAGATAGATCATCGTCACCTGATGATGATGAATTCGGGTTGTCCAAATGAAGCTCCGAATTTCAGTTTCGCTTCATCAATAATTCACTTTGCTGTACATAGTGATGAATTCAAATATCGAATCTGCTTGGTCATTTCGAGAATGTTGATACTTGTGTATATTTTTTTCAAATTCCAATATGTTGATCGATCAGATCTGGGAATATTTTACTTGCCGATTTGAAAATTCCTACTTTGGTACGTCACTTATTGTAAAATTGCACTGTGATAGGAGACAAAAAGATGCGATATTACGAACAACAAAATTGATCGTCATTGAAATTGTGTGTCATGCACAAGGGGATGTTCGGTTTCAGTGTAGTGGTTGAATTTGGTAGTCGTATTATTCTAACACGATTTTTCAACGTAATTATTTTGAATTCGGTTTGTGGTTCGGCACCATAGTGAATTTTCTGCCGAAAATATAGGGTCTAGAGTACTCAGTTGCCCATACAATAGCCAGTAGCTGTTTTTTAATCGTGCTTCAGTTCCTTCCTGAGTCGTTTAGAGTACGCCACTGGTAAATCTTGTCCTAGCGTTCCTTGAAACAAAACGGCGTCGATCGCTATGTTACTCGCATCTGTCGTGGGTTGAAATGGTTTGGTAAGGTCACCAAACATGTCTCTGTTTTTGTTCGGTGGTTAGGTCAGAGAATTGTCCCAGTTAACACAAACCTCTCTGAGATGTCGCATTCAGGTCACCAAATGTTGAAAATGCGAATCGAAATTATAAGTTGCTGTTACCGCTACGGGATACGAATTAAGATGAATTGTTCACAATGGCACTCACATTTTGGTCGATCCGAATCAAATATGAATGTGTATTTGTGAGTCTATCTAGCATATCAAGTACGTTCATCGAATGCGTTGAAAATAAATTCCTTTGGAATCTCTGTATCGTGTCTCAAGGATAAATAAGTGATTCGCATTCATTATATTCCATGATATATAGCTATAGAGGTTTATCAATTTTTTTAACTTCTCAGAAAATTTTCATTTCTGACACGACCTCCCTCTCTGGCAGAATGACGACACATTGTTCAGTTGTGATTCAGAAGTAAATTTTTGCAGTTATGGCATTATACTCCCGTAGCAGCGATATAATGTAGAGCTTTCTTCGAAATTTATTTCTACAATTTCATTTCAGTTTATTTTCTCTACAACTACTGAGGAACATATGGACTTCAGGACTTCTTCAGGTTTCTAACAAATTGAAGCTCTTCAGTCGACACCTTTACTCGAATGATTATTTTGTCTCGCTGAAGCTCGGCAGAATAATTTTCATTCTCAAACGCAGAGTATACATGAAAAAATGTATCTTGATGCATAGAAGACGTGTACCAAATTTGATGAAGGTATATAAACAATAGCATATAAACAGTTATAGTAGTTAATGAAAGAAAAAATGTTTTTTCTGAAAATTTTACCACCCTGTATCTCAAAATTTGAGACGTTTAGGTCATAAGTATGAAGATTTTTCTCAAAACGGGTCCAAAGAATCACCCTCTGCATGTCATTAAGAAACACCCTGTATGGCATATCCCCATCTATTTAATATGGCCGATCAGTTATTTGTTCACCGGTAGACTCAAAAAAGCATGGATGTTGCGCACAATGTGCTCTGCACGTGGTCGTTTAGGGTCGTAGATGTTGCCGAGAGTACCATAATGCCCTATATACCCTGATTCATCGAGCTCATACTCGACTACTGTAATTATCGACAATCAAATAAACTACTCATTTTGCAATAAAACAATTCATTAGTTCGACGTATCCCAATAACCATTGATTTTAAGAACTTGAATATCGAATAGTAGTTCTAGTAGTACTTAGTAGTAATCGAAATACCTGGAAATTGTTCAAAAGGACTCTGATATTAGAAGGCGTGGCATCAGTGTGAATGTGAGATGGCCGGTTGCTGGTGTCTGTTCCATTTTAGATTCATAGCGTATGATAGCGTCTATACTTGAACTCGTTTGATTTGGAATCAGAGAGTCGATGCTATTGCTGAGAGTGTTAGAATCGTTGATTCGTTGAGATGATATCATATACCTAATAAAATAAGACTATATTATGTTGGCCAGCCTTGATAGATAAGTAAGTTATACCTATAGTTGTTTACTGCATGTTCTAAATCTACATTTCCAGGTTGAAACGTTCTCTATAATTGTGGTTTGGGAGGAGTTCCTGAGTTGTCCATGTTGGCCTGCGAATTTGGGACACCCTGTATACTGAAATTCCAAGTATTATACAGGCTGTTAGGAATTACCGGTTACCGCGAGATCTCCATGCCCAGTATATATATTCAAATATATTCCATATAAGCCATATTTGTTCATATTATATGTTATATCCGTTTTCCACGTTGAAATATAATGAGCTTCTTTGTTACCGTTTTGGTTGTTGTGAAAATTTATCATTTCAGGTTTCCAATTCACCAATCCTATACTCCCAATTATTCGTATCAGTGACTGAGATGCGATTTACATTATCATTCACAAATGTGGTCTGATAAACCCAATTTGTGAGTTCTCTGGCAACATCTGAAATTCATGTGTTTTTGACATGAATGAGAGTTACAAAATACTTCATCAAAATACATCTTTGATATCGGAATGTGACATATCCAGTGATACGGATTGTGATTCACATTATGTAATTAGTAGCGATTCATTCGACTTCACATTATAACATCAAAAGTACCCCAATGTGCATTCGATTTTGAAGGAGAAGTAGTAGGTCACATTCAGCAGATTTCGAGTCACATTAGGCATCGCATTGTAATGCCTGAAGCCGGTCAAGGGGGCCCCGAATAGAAGTGTTGGCGATACTAATGATAGTCACATTTCGACTCACTGGTGTGATCTGTAACATGAAAGTGAAGCCTACGAACATCTCTGAGACGATTTTGTGTTAACTGGGGTAGTAGGTATGGGTTTGTTGATAAGTAAATTCTTGAATGTCTCAGAGCGAGAAGTGAATTCGTCATCATAAACCATACTTGCGCTTTTTTTCAAACATTTGGTCAGGGGTTTTGTTGATTTCGCGAAATTCTTTACGAATCTCTGATGATAACCAAGTTAGCCAAGGAAACCATGATCATTATTCTATTTGGATTAGGTTTCATACCCTCTGGAGTTAATGATTGGCTCAAGTAGGCGACTTACCTGCGCAAAAACTCGGGTTTGTCGACCTGCATTTTGAAATCGGTATCTCTCTTACGTTGAAAGTCACATTTAAGTCTTTCGGTATGCTCTCGAATAGGATAAAACGAATGATAATTTCGTCTCAATAGACTTGACACTTCTCATTCTGAATACCTCGTAGGAAATCATCTACTATTCTCTGTGAAGTGACAGGAGCATTCTTTGAATCGAATGGCATTCGAAAATATTCGTATTGACCATTTTATGTATAGACTACTGTCCCAGGTGAGTCATTTTCACCCATTTCGATTTGTTGAAAACCACTCGCGAGATGTAGAGTGGTGAAGTACTGACATCTGCCTGACTTATCTAACAGATCAGGGATATAGGGTAGAGGATATTTGTCATCGATTGTCTTTAGGTTGAGTTTGCGGTAGTCAACAACTACAAGTCACTTCTGCCTGCACGAGACGTCAATTTTCTTTGGAACGACTGAAATCGGGGACGACCAGGAAGAAATACTGGGCCGAGTGATTTTCGGTCCAACATGCTTCGGATTTGTCGTTCTACCTCTTTCTCATGAACAAGAGGGTATTTGTATGTTCTCGTATAAATCGGGATTTCGTCACTAGTTTTGATGTGATGTTTAATTTCATGGGTGGAAGTTAAAGACGTATTTTTCTAATAAAATCTTGGAAACATGTAGTTTGGGTTTTTCACTTTTGTCATGGTCGTCAAAGTCATACTACTAAAATTCCTGCTAGTCGTTTTCATCAGATTTGTCTACCATGATGGGTTTGGAGAAGTCGAGTGTAATTTGTTTTGTTGTGTGATCAAGAATTTTCTTCAACGAGAAAAGGGAAACAGGAAAGCAATAATCATCAGTCAATATCCATAGTCTAAGAAATATTATCAATATAGAATTTTTTTCCGCTCTTGAGAACAGCTGGATGAAATTATCTGCTGATAATTCTATCGACGAGAATTGTATTTATTTTCACTTCAAGAGAATGTGCGCAGGAATTATTCTCGATATCAATGTATTCAATGTGAAAGATTCATACAACCCCATACAAATTGTCAATTTCTGCTGACAATTATTCCAAATGCTAGTTCATTCGATGTCCCAAATAATTGCTCAGTACAAGTTGAATTCACCATAATCTCTTGTTTTTCAGATGGTTCAGGCCTCCTACTCATACACAACTGTGATAACTCAGCTACAGTAGCGGTGAATCAAATCAATTGCATGAAGTTGGGAGTTCAAAACAGAACCAAGTAGCATTCAAGTAGTTAGAAAGAATAAATCTGATTCTCATTATCATCACTGTTTTTTTTTTCTGATCCCGAAGAGTCCATCGGACTGGAGAATAATAAGATATTCGCATTAATAAAAGGATTTTCCAGGAGAATAGAGGTGAAGGTATCAAGTAAACGAACGATTGGAAAGGTCCATTTGATTGTATCACATGATCCCCTATGGAATCAGAATCACTGATTTTAATGTCAAAAATTCAATAAGTAATAAATGTTGCTGATCGATTTATTCGGGTGCTACTACTACAAGTGGTTTCTTGCGTGTCAACTAGCAATATTGATGAAACTAGTTTCTTGAATAGAGATATCGTCATGAAGTCTAAGTGATAACAAAAAAACGATAGCATTTTAATATGATTGAATTTTGAAATGAAGTGTTTTTCTTTCTACGATCCAAATACTGAGCAGAGGTTATCGATGTTTTCACAACAGACGACTTCACACACACTCTTCACTTTTTCGGTTATACCAAAATTCCTCAGAATATAATCAATTCCAAAATCATTTCATCCTTCTTGCAGCAGTTCCTCTCATTGTCTCATGATGGCATCGATCATTCGTAAATCGAATCCTATATGAGTAGAGTTCAGATCTCAGAATAACGTAGTCAATCATTGGTACTCCATTTTGCACATCTTTCGATATTCCAAGGACTTACTTATCAACCAGGGGAATGTCATAGATCTCATTCAGTTTTTAGTCGGAGGTATCGAAGCGCTGATGAAATTCTCTCTTCATAACCTTATATGGATCTTGCCCAACAATCTCATGTATCATGCTGTCAGTATCAGCGTAAAGAACTGAGCAATGACGAAATGTATTGAACATAATAGTCGTTTATATCATGAAGTATTTGTGAAGTCTGGAATAGCTTGACCAACTTGAATAAGTTTGTCGTGATGGATTTCAAGTGTTTTCATCTCTACAGCAATCAGACTTTCATTGAAGTCAAAACAATTCTTGAAATCCGGTTTTGGAACGTACGCGTCAGCATGAAATCTTCCCACTCACTTCGTCAAGAGCCTGACAAAAAATGCCTTCGACATATTGTTTTCAAAAACGGCGTTGTTCATGAGTTGGAATGGATTCTCCTAATTTTTTTTTCTTGTTAACGCAGTCCTGGGGTCAGGTTGATGTATGATTTCAACCACATACCTTGCAGGAACTTGAGGACTGGAAGTATTGTTTTCAGCACTAAACCATGTTTCAACGCCTGTTTGAGGGCTCGTAAGAGAATGACATACTCCTTCTTGAAGCGTGGGGTCGCCATCAATTTAGAGTGTTAGCGTACGGACTTAGAAGGCTTCTCCTGCCTTTCTGATAATGCTTCAAATGCTCCTCTGAGGGAAATAACATTACAGTTCATTCACTCTGTTGAGATCTAGTAACGCTTGTGATGCATACGATATCAATTTTTTTCGAAAAAACGACGTTGTTCACTTCATTCATTAATTCTCATATTATTTGCTGCGTTCTGGCATGGCGTCCACTAGGTTGGACACATATTATTTTTCATGATTCTGACTGAGGCACAGTGGAATATTTTGTAATTATATATTCTCATTGCCAATTAAAGGTTACAATAATCAATATGTCAGGTCATCACATTTCCTCTAGAGCGTTCATGGAATGTTCTAACAGAAACAACATTGAAGTCTTCGGAAACCATTTTACATCAGTGCAACTATTAGTCAACATGAAGAAAATACTTTTGATATTTTCCCCGGTAGGTGGTATCACTGGATAAACGTCAAAAAATGTCTGATATTGCCGACCATAAATAGTTTCCGATAAAACATGAAATACTGCCATTGCTTACAACTACTTATTCCTCTTATCCACCATAGTTGGCATTATGCATAGGATGGTTAAACGAGAACGAGAACTGATGAGTTTAATCCATTGAAAATATCAATATTTTTTATTCATTTCATAATATTTTAGTATTTATAAAAAATATGAATTCATCATGGTCCGTCTCTATATTTCTCTCCTCATAGTAGGCCATATCGTGGTGTGATAGTGATGGAGGTAAGTTGCTGGTCATTTCCAGACGATAACATCGAGACGTTCGTGAAATATCATTCATCGAAGATTCAAATGATACCCTGTATTCCTGTTACGAATAGGCAGAACATATTTTCCCACATATACAGGGTGTTTCATTACTAATCGGGAATATTCCAACCATTGAATCTCGAACTCAAAATATGAAGATTTAGCCCAAATCACCTAGATAAATTAATATGTCTCCTGTCTGAATTACAGGGTGTTTTATTAAAAAATTTTGAAATGAATTTTGCCCAGTTCTTCAAAACAATTCGACGTATCACTTTCATATTCGAAGGGAAGTGTAGCTATTCTCCACCCAACAGAATTACGTGGAAGTAACTTTTCTAGCTATCACCAGAGGCGTACGACAGGGGCAATTAACTGGTTGATCCCACCCAAATTCTACGCCACTGGCGGAATTGCAATTCTATCACAAATTCCCGATTCTCCGACAATTTTGACGTAGATATTGTACTCTTTCTCCTTGGCGATGAAGTCATTATTTTTCGAGATATTTCATGTTAAACATAAATCTGCACAATCATTTTGATTTCAATGTGCATTGATTTTGTCAATATTTTGGATCAATGCATTGTATTCATCGATAGAATGAAACATCAATTTATATCAAGAATGAAAACATAATTACATAACAGCATAACAGACATGAGCTGTTACAGGGTGTTTAATTATGTAATATATTAAAAAAATTAAAACGCCCTGTAACAGCTCCTGTCTGTTATGTTTTTATGTTAATATGGATTGAAGTTTCATTTGATCGATGAATGCAGTCCATTGATCCAAAATATCGACATTATTGATACACATCAAAATCAGAATAATTGTGCTGCTTCATGTTCAACTTGAAATATCTCGAAAAATGATGACTTCATCGCTATGTACAATATTTACGAAGAAGGTATTGAAGAATCGTAGAATTTGGGAAGGATCAACCAGTCAATTTCATACGCCTCTGGTAATAGCTAGAAAAGTTTATTTCACGAAATTCAGTTGGATGTATAATACCTACACTTTCCTCCAAATATAAAAGTGATACGTCAAATATAGTTTCGAAGAACTGGGCAAAAAACATTTCGAAATTTTTCAATGAAACACCCTGTTACTCAGAAAGGAAACATATTTTATCTAGGTGATCTGGATTGAATCTTCATATTTTGAGATCGGGATTCCATGATTGAAATATTTCCAATTAGAAATGAAACACCCTGTATAACAACTCAACTTTACTTCCTCTATCCGCCATTTGGCTATGGCTGGTTATTCATGACTCACCCTGTATGATTGGAAAGTTATCATGACCTACTGCGACCAACTTCATTGACCCATATTCTAGAAAGGACTATCAAGCTCTGTTCTCACGAAACAATAATGATGTATTTTGAATCAAGTTTACTTGAAACATACTTGGTTCCACCCATATCATCATCAAACACAGGGTGGCCGAAACAACAAGTAGTACTGTTGTATGTTCAAGAAGAATTATTGACACATCATCATCGAGGATCACTTCCAACATATCTGTTCCCATTTTCAGTATTGAAATATACAATTTGTCTGAGAATGAAAATAGAAAGTATAAGTTAGCAATATTTCTCATCACGATAATTCATTACTCAGAAAATGATGATGAATTCTGAATCAGAATCAATTCAAACACACTTGTACCGATCTTCATCATCATTTGACACAATTTGTTTGAAAATTTCAAATAAATAGTAATAATGAGAAGCTCATGATCACATCACAAGTGCCAGTGTTATATCCAAGAGCACAGTCTAGATATTCAGAACATGACAGAACCTTAGTGACTAAACACTGAGACTAGCGTCTGAGGAAAGGGTACTACAAATAATCATCATGGTGGTGGGGGAACTATGGAGCAAAACGATAATGGTAGGTGAATAGCAGGTAAATAGCCGATACCGTCGATTGGCGCAGAATCATGAAAAAAGGGAAGGAGGGAGTAGTAGAGTTTTAATCTTCTCCTGAAGATGCTAAAATAGTTAGCGAAACACGTGTCGGGGCGTTGAAAAATCGGTTTGGTTAGTGGTAAAACAGTGTATTGTATATACAAATAAATTAATTTGGGTTCTATTATCATATCGTTTTTCATCCCAGAAATATCGAGAGAACTGTATTATCAGACAGAAAACATTCACAACCAGAACATATTATGTCCTGAATTATACAGAAATGCTCTTCACGAGTAACGTTTACGCCGGGCAGCGATTTTACCAAATATACTGCACGCTAGCACAAACCACGTCCACCATAATACGTCATATCTCCAAACATTACCGATATACTCGGAGTCAGCACATCGCACTGAATATACTGTGCTCCAACGCAAGAATACACTTTTTATGATTTTGACACGAATTCGACTGAAGCTCTCTCGTTGTCAATCTTTTGTACGCAGTATATTCATATATACCCAAATGGTCTACTGGTTAGCGCTGTCGACTGTGAGTCTGAAGGTCCATGGTTCGAATCGCTGTGAACTTGATTTTTTTTTGCAACTTTTTTTTTCACTAATGATTTTCCACTTCATTTTGGTTTTCCTTTTTCATAAAATATTTAAAGTCAAATAGGTTAGTGCGTTTAGGATAAACAGTCTCATTTTATTCAATTTTGTTGAAGAACTCAACTTTTGAAATATATTATTAATCAATGGGTTTTTACACTCCATTCGGTTTTCCTTCCTCAAAGATATTGCAATCAGGGATAGGTTAGTTCGTTAAGGATAAATAGTCTCTGAGTTTTGCCTAAGTACTTCGAAGATGAGATATTACGGTGGGCGTGGTTTGTGCTAGCGTACAGTATATTTAGTAAAATCGCCGCT